TGCGCTCCCAGCTGCCCAGCCCCGGGGGCCGGGCCCGGTTCCCACGCCGGGGAGGAGCGAGAGAGCAAAGCAGACGGGGCCCCGCGGCGGCCGAGGGCGGAGGGCAGCATCGCCTCCTCGGGAGGTCGGGGCGCCGGGGTCGCCTGGACCTCAGAGCCCGCGGGGACAGCGGCCGCGCCGGCTCCTCCGCAACTTCGTGCCGCCGGCGGCTCTTGGGTGAGCGATTCTCCCTCCTCTGGAGCAGAGGGCTGCGATCACAGGGTCGCTCAGCGCCGGCAGCCTTCCGGGGGCGCCGCCCGGGGTTTGCCCGAGGCGTGAGAGTGAGTGTGCACGCGTGTGCGGGTGTGCAGGCGGGTGCGCGCGCGCGTTAATTACCGCTTGGCGGTCTGACTTCCGTCCCCCCAGGACTGCAGCACTTTGAGGATCGGTGAGCCGGGGGTCGCCGCGGTCTCTGCGGGCCGGGTGGGTGCCCGGAGCCGCCCTGCGAGGGCTCGGCAGCCTCGCGGTGGCCTCTGTGTGGGGGCTGCGTTGCCATGCGGTCGTGCGATTTCAGGAGTCTTTCTTTTGCTCGCTTGTTTCACACGGTGGTTCCTTCATTTTGCACTTGATAAACAGTTTATATCTTCTGAAGTAAACCTGAAGGTGGAAGGCGTCAATTGTGGCTGAGGCATCTTGGTTTCCAACAGACTGCAAATCCCTCTGAATTTTAAATAGCACAGGTCATATATATAGTTTTAAATTAGACCTTCCCTTAAAACATATTGGTGGTGATTTTTCAAGGTCAGTCCTAAGGTGATTTCACTGAAGGTTTGCCTACTTACTGGAGCTGGTCTTGACAAGAGTATCTTTAACCCTCTGGTCAGGCGTAGGTAGACGCTGGAGCGTTCAGTAATGGTATAGGTTTTCACATCTTGGTTCCTAGTGTAGAAATAATCTGTTGCTTTTCTTAAAATGGCTATGCTATTTTTTTTTCTGCAGAAGTCATTTCAGGTACTTTATATGAAGGTATATTACGAAGAGTGGTGAAAATCAATAGCAGCAATGTAACAAAATATGAATGTCTAAAATTTCAAAGCAAACACTAATGTGTCAAAAAGGCAGGTAAATTTTATGCTTTTCAATGGCAGTAGTCTGTACTCTCGGTTCGGATTAAACAGCTGTCTGTGGATTGCTTCAGGGGGTCCCTGAAATTGTGTCTAAACATTTGAGTCACTGCATTTTTAAGGAGCTGGCCCAGGGTCCTCAGATATCCAGTATCTTTGACCCAACAGAAAAATAAGAACCGCAGAGTTAAAATATATCCTTTTCCAAGTCAAAACAGTAAGCTTTTTACTTAAATAGTAGAAAAATTCTAAAATGATTACATACTGTTACAGTAATTAAACATCTCACATAAAACAGACCCACTTGTATGTTTTAAATGTATCAGTCAGGAAACTCAAGGTGTTGAAGTTTATTTAATAGAAATCTGTAATGAATAGATGGGTACCTCTTTTCTCTTCTTGCGCCGTAAGATCTATGGCATACAAAATAAGGATTTTACCTTTCTCTCTTTGAAACCCAACACAAATAGAAAGTACTTACGCTTTGTGTGATGTTTCACAGTGTATGAATATAAATGGCCCCTCAAAGGCCCTCTTTCTAGATATCCAGGTATAAAATAACATGTCCAAGATAGATTTCTGACATTTATGAGAATGCAGGGGGTACTGTAGTTTCACAAGATTTGGTCCTCATATTTCTTATAACTGTGGCTTACTAAGTGATAATGCTGTAAGGCATTATTTGGAAAAAAAACTTTTAAAATTATCATCGTACTAATAAAAACTCAAATTGTTATTTTCATTATAAATGTCAGATTTGCCAGGAAGTTGCTCAGTTTTCTCTTATTTGCTAGGATGTATAACTTTTATGTCATTGATTTTTTTATCCCACTTAATTAGAAGTATTTACCCAGGTGATTTAACCTTGAACATTGCTCTTGATTACTTCTCTATATATTTGTAGAAGCAGATACGCTTCCTTCTAAAATATCAGTAATTCCAATGGTTTTTTAGTTTCTAGGCCATCTAGAACTATATGCTAAGCATTCGTTAGGTGTCTGTTTTGGTTGGGTACCTCCATCTTGATCCAGGAAGAGCTTTTGGCAGTAGTTAGGTCTTTAGATGATATATTTGTTGCCCATAGATTAGTTGACTTCTTTGGCACTGGAGTCATTTTGGGCTATCCCGAATTCCGTTTGCTTTTGTTTTTCTCAAGCAGTTTGGACGTGTCTGACCTATTTCGATCTTTCTCTTTCCTGAGTGCAGGCCTGCAGGCTCATCCTCCTTACATAAGCCTTGAGGCTTACAGGGTCTGATTGGAATCATTCACCAGGAGTGAGGAGCTTCAGGCCGGGACAGCAGTGGGAGAGAGGGACCACCTTACACACCCCGAGGGGGCCCCAGGGGCCTGACTCCCCACCATGACAGTGTGACCCTCTACTGCTTGGAGTTGCCCACCTGGAATGCTTGCTGGCCATCCGTAATCTGCATTAAAATGAACCCTCCCTCAGAAAAATCAAGGCAACTCAGGTTAAGTGACACATCCCAACTCCTCCTCCCCACCCCAGGAGGAATCGACAAGAAGACACAGAACACCTGGCCTTTGGGAGGGAGCACCCTGGGAAGGGACTTAGGCTTTTGGAACGAAGGAGAGCTTCCTAGTCCTGACTTTTTGCAGGTCTGATATGACTGCATGTCCCCTTTCACCCTGCCACCGCAGTTAGAAACGCACACTCAGGTGTCTGTGCTGCCACCACACTCAGATGTCCCTCGGGGGGCAGCCTCGGCTGCTCGGGGCCTGGCGCCTCGTGGGCTTCTGGGGAGCCTCACTGTGCTGTCTCCGGAATTATTGACGTGTTTTTTTAAAAAATGTTTTTTCTTCCTTTTTTAAAAAAAATGGCTTATATTTTTTAAAATTAAAAAAATTATTTTTTTTCCTCTTTTGATGGGTGAAGTAATTAAGTTTGTTTGTTTATTTACTTACTGGAGGTACCGGGGATTGAACCCAGGACTTCATGCATGCTAAGCACATGCTCTTCCAGCGAGCCCCATCCTCCCTCCTTGACTTAAGTTTGGATGTCTTGGTGCTGCAGGTTATTCTGTTCAAGAACACCATCTCCAGTGATGGGCCTGCCATGAGCCTCCGGAGACAGCTGCAGCCTTTGTAGCACACAGACACTTCTGTGCCTTTTCCCATAAGGCTTGCAGCCTGTTCAGAGCTGCTTACAACTTTTGCTTCCTTCAGCATCCCCCAGTGACCCTTTGTCTTTCTAGGTCTACACCCTGCACTCACGTTCCCCGTCCCTGTTACCAGTGCCCGTCCACCTCCTGAATAGTCCACTTTCCCTGGGAATGTGACCGGGTGGAGGACTGTCTGTCTGCACTTTGATCAGCTGTCCCTGTTCGGGACCTCATTCAGCATCAGCCCGTGGGCTCCCGAGGACCTTAGCCTGCCTTCTCCCCTAGGGGAATCCACTGCCATTCACCCAGCTGGCCTTCTGAAAAGCTGAGACTCGCATGTTCCCTTTCTGACCCCAACCTCCTGTCCTGCCGGTAAGTCCCTCACTGGGCACCGCTGCACCCGTCCTCTCCTTCTGTTGCTCCTGGGCCCGGATTGTCTCTGTCTCCCTCTCTTGCTCGCCACGCTTACTCTGCAGGGCAGCACCGGCTCTGCTCCAACCCCGCCATCTCTTCCCAGAACCTGATGCACTCTGACTTCAGCTCCAGGGCCATGAGCAGGGCTCCGAGGCTACTTTATTTCCTCTTGGATAATCTCTCTCAAATTCTCCGCAATCCACGTTCCAGATTTTTTCCGGATTTTCCAGTCCACATTATCTTCCATCTTTTCATTCCTAGCAGATGACCTTATGTCCACATTCAAGGAGAATATTGAGGTCAATTTAGGCAAGTTATTCATCAACATTTAGCTTGAATGTAGGAGACATTTGTTGATTTGACCTGATCTGAGCATAAGAATCTTTTCTCATATTGAACTATGCTATTTGTTTCTAGAATATTCATATCCCAATTTTTACCTCTTAGAGGATGTATACAGAAGGCTTTTTTTTATAGGACAGCAGTATGCCTATGGTCTTGGTGGTCATATTCAGTCCTTTTATAACCCATCCTTTGTTGACATAGTTTGAAACTCTCTCAGCAGGGCATTTCTCCCATGGATGTCCTCCCGGGTTTCTGAAAGTGTGGTCCTCAAGGCTGAGCAAAGATGGGTGGGCGCAGGTCACTGGACAGGCTACGTGAGCTCCTCTGGGTGCCAGGTGGTGAGTCATCCTGAAATCTAACCTGTCCCCCCAATGCTTTTTGCATCCATTGAACACCACCTTTTTGCATACTCTTCTGCAAATATACTCCTCTATTTGTGCATTGGATCACTAGATTCGGGACTTTTAAAAAATACTTACTGCCATTAAGTTTAATTTTTACCTTTAGCTCGCCTGCTGTTCCAGAAGGTCAGGGTATTTTGGGATTCTGATTTCCTGATATGGATTAGGCATTCTTCCCCATCGAGGGGCATTAGCGGATTGGATCAGGATACAATCACTATCTTCATCCAGATCGCGGTGCAGAATTGTGAACCAGAGGGACGTCTGGCGTCACCCTAGACTCCTTGCCCTTGCTCTGCCCGAGCCCGTGAGTTAGTCCTCTTTCCAGGGCTGTTCCTAGCCAAGCAGCTCTCTCTCCTCGGAGTTTACATTCCTCCGTGTGGCCCGGGAGGATACTGTGACAGGCTTGGTCACATTCCTTGCTGAAATGCACTTCCGCTTTCTGCAGAATGGCTATCAGGAACCCTGCAAAAACAGAAGGAAGTAACAGTAGGTTAGATTGGAGGGGTCGGTTCCTGGTGACCTTGCATAGCTTGGAGGCAGCAGCACGTCGCATGTTAGAGCTTGGGTACCATCACTGTAGCAGTCTCTTGGGGACCGTGCCTGGAATCAGTGTCAAGCTCTCTAGGCTAAAGCTGGTGGAATCCACCTTCTCTTTTTTGAAAAATTGAGACCATGGTGGGAGTCCTTGTTCTCTATCAACACCTCTCTTCATTGTAGTATTTTAATGATTATACCTCTGCCTTTATCTCATCCAGAAATGCTTTCAGTCCTTGGTGATGAAATGTAGCCAAATTGATGGATTTAAACTCATTTAAAAGATTTAACCTCA